TGCAAAAAAAATTGCTAAAGTAGCATATAATGATAGTGCATGCAATGATGTGTGAAAAAATCTAAAGTTATTACTTACACGATAGTTCAAGTCCATACAACAACTCGATAATACACAAGTGGGCAAATGTGCAGTTCAAAAAGACTGAAAACAACAAAGTTAGGCATGGATTATAACGTTACAGAAGACTGACAGAAGAGCGAAGAGCAAATAAGAAATTATTGCTTCAAATGGCTCGCATTATTAGCTCTCAGCAATAAGCTTCAAGTTTTACAATGCTCATTAGAAGTTATATAAGTGTTAAAACTGAATACCTCTCAGCTACATTTCTTTCCCACTTTCACAAAAAAAATCCATGTAACCAGGATAGGTTTTTTTTTTCGTAGCGCTGCAACAGATAGAGACAGAGCAGCCAATTTTTTAATGGTCGACGACTGCTCACAGCAGGCAGTACAAACAAATTCCAGAAATTCTTTTGCTGAACAATATGCAGAAGAGATAGCGTTTCCGCATAATCCATCCAAAAAACTTGTACGTTCACCAAATCCAAAAAGCAAACTACAGAGCTACCTGCTACTGGAACTTCTTTTTTGCGAATTACAGTTGTGATTATAGAACTTGTTTTGTAAATCGGGCCTACGTGTGTTACAAATATTCAAGAAGAAAAGAATCTTGAATGGATGCTCAAGATCACGCCCAAATAAGCTTCAATCAGTAAACTGCACATGATTTTGCATTTTCTATGCAAGAATTCAAAACAAATGCACTTAAGAGGTAGAAATAATACATACCGAAAATGGATTTTGTTTGAGAACATCTGAAAAGTTCTAAAGGATAAAGAAAAACGAACAATTGAGCATAAGTATTGTCAAAAAAGAGCAAATACTGTAGTTACATTGTGCACTAACGTACTAGCAAAGATATTATACCGAAATTGAAAAACATAATTCACTATCATACTAGATGTACCAGCCCAGGTGAGCTTTACGGCAATTTGTAAAGAATACCTATAAAAATCATAGTCATTAAGAACATCTTTATGGGCGCATAAATTGACACCCATGGAAAATCCTGAGATTTAAATTGCGACCCTTCAAATTTGGCTGTTCCAGCAAGTACACACTGGACGTCGAATACTCAGGTTAACTTCTGCCGTCGTTGGGCGGAGCTTGTCATTTTGCCAGCTCCATCGTCGGCCAGCTGGTCGATATCGGTGCCGGCGCCAGTATTCAGTCGCTTGCCGAGAGTGTGACGTCTTCGTGACTGGTCTGACTACTGGTAAGTTAGACGTTCCCCTCAAAGGCGCCGTCACAGACATTGCGACGTCGTCTGATCGTCGTTGCCAAGGAATGACATTGTTTCAGCACGTGGTATGTCACGACGTTCGCGTGTTTCCGATGAAATCGACGTAATATCCACTAGCGACGATGAGATTCCGCTGCCACCGTCAAAACCGCCAATTACAATACGTGGTGTTGGTCATATCACAATGTGAGTTTGCGGTTGTCTTTAGCTTTTTTATTAGCAATTTTTGAAAAAGACAGCTAAAAATAAT